ATTGAGAATAATCCACAGAGATATGAAGCCAAGTAACATATTGCTTGACGAAGGCTGGAATGCAAAGATATCAGATTTTGGAATGGCCAGAATTTTTGAAGGAAACCAAGATCAAGCCAACACTAGAAGAGTCGTAGGAACATAGTAAGTGTTTGTTAATTTCATCCAATTTAGATTGTGGATTGTCAATACTAGTGATGTTTAGTGACACAATCTTGTTACAGTGGATATATGGCTCCAGAATATGCGATGGGTGGCAGGTTTTCAAAAAAGTCCGATGTTTTCAGTTTTGGCGTTTTAATATTGGAGATTGTAAGTGGGAGAAGGAACACGAGCTTCTATGATGACGACGACTTGTCTTTAAGCCTTTTAGGATATGTAAGTAAACTTTGCTTTACTTGCAAAGTTGTCCATTGTAATATCTTATTTTCTGATTCCAATGAAATTCTTCTTAATCTTTTCAAGTCGTGGAAATTATGGAACGAAGACAATGTTCTGGATTTGATTGATCAGAGAATATCAAGTCCAAGCTCATTGGCGGAGATTAAGAGATTCATACACATTGGATTGTTGTGTGTTCAAGGACTTCCTGTAAATAGACCCTCCATGTCAACTGTTCTGTTGATGCTCAGCAATGAAATCTTTGACCTGCCGGTGCCGCAACATCCTGGATTTACGGACAAGTGGAATAGGTCTCACTCTTACAGCAAAACATCGAAATCTGCTAACAGTGTCACTCTCACTGTGCTCGAGGGGCGATGATAAGAGAGAATTTCGTACACCAGTCCATCTTTTCAATTAATATCAGGTAATTTTGCTCATAACAATCATGAAGGAAATCACAGTTTTGCCAAGATGTTGTCTAGTTTTAACTCTCCATTTCGACAAGGATAGGGCAGCAAATTTCTTAAAATCATTAGAAAAAAAAATGTGAAAGCAAACATAACAGCAAATTCCTTAAGATTATATTGAATTATTGTAACGATCACGGATCATGAATATACGAGTTATGGAAAATACTAAGATCGTGGTGGTGTCAATTGTGAGATGATGGTATAACAATTTTGAGTTACAATGTATGGTTTCTGTAAAAAATAAATAAATAAATTACATAGTCCAAACATTACAGGAAAGTAAGGTACAGAAAATTATAAATTAGGTATTACTTAAAGAGGAAATAAATTCACAAATGCAAAGAAAATAACCATTTAGTGGGGACATTTATTGTTTAAATTGTCAATCTTGATCGAGTATGAGTAATTCTATTTATTTATAGATAAGGTCGCAAAATACACAAACAGGCATCGACGTCCATCAATATGGCATTGGCTCTCAAGTAATTTCAAGATGTTTAGTATTGTATTTTATTTCACAAATGAACGATATTTGAAATGACATCTTTAGTCGGCATTTTCATATCTATTAGGGCCGCTTGAGTTTTCTTTTAACTATTAAGGAGTTCCCGAGTGTTCCAATAGTTGTGTAGTAAGCTATTATCGTATTATAAAGTTCATCTAGTGCGTTAATTCCATAATCAATTTCTCTATAAAATTTAGGTGACGAATAAAAAAATTCTATTTCATTCTCAAATATGTTTTCTTAGTTTATTTTAATTTTTTTGTTCCTATAACTACAAATTATGTGTCATCGCAAATAGTACTAATTTGACAAAAATAGCTTAATAGAGAAGGTCATCTGTGACGCAGAATTAAGTCTTACAAAAGGCATCACGTTACATTAGGACACGTGCATTAAGCTAACAAAGTGTGTGTGTGTTAAGAGTAGGGAAGCCAAAAAAACCCGATACCTACGGGACCCCGCCCCGAATAGGACGGGGATTACCCGCTTAATCGGGTATTCGGGGCGGGGACGGGTAACGGGTGCCCCGTCCCGTCCCGTCCCTTTTAATATATTTTTAAAATTTTTTTTTAGAATTCAATACTTTAAATAAAAAATTTCACGAAATTTTATTAATTCTAATAGAAAATGGCAACTAAAATTATATAAAAAATATGACAAATAATAAAAGTCTTAGTTTATCAAATA